TGTGTGTGTGTGTGTGTGTGTGTGTGTGTGTGTGTGTGTGTGTGTGTGTGTGTGTGTGTGTGTGTCTGTGTGTGTGTGTGTGTGTGTAAGTGGGATTTGATGAGTGAATGTTTGTGTGAGAGGAGAGATGATTTCACCCTGATCTGCCCGAATATATACATATGCGCAAAGTAATTCTTACCCCAGATGGGCTTCTGTCTGCTCACTTTCATCCAAACAGCTCTGTTTTCATCACGCACCCCGTATGTCTCTTGCTTCCATGGCCCAATCACACCTCTCCTCCGTCAGCTGTGAATCTAATAGCGGTGCTGTCATAACACACGTCGTAAAGCTTTACGCCATTAGACACGTTTGTGCTGTGGCTGGTTGATGCACCAGCTGCTACATCCTAGTAAATGCGTCGTTTGTTTTATCATTTGGTAGTCAAATTGCCTGGTAGTTGTTTACCTCCTTCACTTTACAGCGGCTCCGGGGTCACCATGGTGGCAGTAAATTATGTTTTATTTTCACAGAAATGATGGCTGCACCTCAAAAAAAGAAGCTGTTTCGGGCATCTCTAATTTTTAAACACCCACCTTCTACTTTGTGAACAGTGCAAAATATCTGAAAACTCTAGCTGTGTATGAGCAAGTGGCAAATTAGATATGTGCTCTATTTATTTTTAGCAAAAAATGAAAAATTAGTGTAAGCATGCACTAGGAAACTGCATATTAATCTTTTTCAAGGAAGTCTCTAATCCGGAGCAATTATGTTGAAAGGAGACATCCTGTGGAAGCAGATTTTTAGTGTAGTGTATATACAAAACATGAGTATATTTTCAAATTATTTCTTGCAAAATTACAAACGGTCTATATTATACAGTATGTAATTTTGCAAGAATTACATACTGATCTTTTAGAAATCATCCTAATATGCTGATTTGGTGCTCAAGAAACATTTCTTATCAATGTTAAAAGCATTGCTGATTTGTTTTTGTATAAATAGTGATAAATTTTTTCATCCTTAAAGTGCCCCTATTATGCCTTTTTGAATATTACCTTTCATGCAGTGTGTCATGTAGCTGTATGTGAACATATAAACTATTTGCAAAGTTGTGAAGCCGACAGTGCACGATAAATAAAGTTATTGTCTATCAAAAAAAAAGAGTCGGCTCGCAATCGCCTAAACGAGTCGTCAGGAATTCGAATCTTTTTTTCTTTTTTTTGTTAACAACGGTTTATTGAATTTTCTTCTGGGAATAGCAATATAAAACAAAAAGCAACAGTGCAAATTTAGAACCCATCCCAACCCTGGTAGACTTAAAAAAAAAAATATGTATAAAATAAAAAATATGTATATAAAAATTAAAACAAATAAATAGTAATAATAAAAATAAGTGAATTAATAATAATAGATAAATAAATAGTAATAAAATAATTTTTTTTCAAAGATTTTAGAAAAGCTGACATAACATTAAAAGCTAAATGCCATAAATTTACAGTTTTCACATTAGATCAATGTATACGAGAAGTTGAGAGTTCCATCGAGATAATGTCCAACAAATACACAGTCCAGGTTCTTCTGTCCATTGTGTAAGGAGGATTCCAATGGTTGACTAGCAATTTTAGGAATTCAAATCTTATTCTGTTACAGCTCTATGTCACGAAGTAACATATTTGCATAATGTCTGCCCACGTTCTACGTCGCCAACTTGCCCACCCACAAACAGTAACATTTCGGTGTAGTTAACGTCATGTCGAGAAGACGCTGTATCCTACGCTGTGAGAGTAAATTTGTTTTATCACATCTTATAATTACCACAAACTTGTTAACACTTGACACTTACCACTGAGAAAGGTCCTGCTCCAGTCGTGCTTGCGAATCAGTCTCTTGTCGATCAGCCAATCTCTCTACGGCTCTGGGCCAATCACAAAGGACTGCGCCATCTGACCATTCACAGCAGTGAGGGTTCACGAAAAGTAGGGGTTTAGAGAGACTGATTCTTTGAACTGCTTCACACAAGTCGTTTACGAATCATTTAGAAATGAGGTAAAATTCAATCTATTTTTTGAGAAAACAAACCTGATTTTTGATGTAAACCTGTTTTAGGAGACTCATAAAACAATATTAGCAACCTTAAAAATGGCATAATAGGGGCACTTTAATGAATAGAGATTCCAAAAGAACATAAATGATAATTTCTCTAATTTGTTGCAAAATTAAAAAAAAAATTAATTTTACTTTTTATTCTGACTTGTCATGTTACATTTTGTTTTTTGCAGTTTGACTTGATTTCACGTCATTGCGACTAATTCTAGCAATTTCATTCTAATTTTAAACTTCATTTCAAAATTACTTTTTTTCTTCTTTTTTTTTCTTTTTACTTGGATGCAGAAACACATCCATAAAAAACTGATGCTCTAAATGACAAACAAATGTTCAGATGTTTGTAGTGTTGGGATTTACGGTCACAGGGGAACACATATAATCCCATTTCAGGATGGTGTCCCACAGCTGTTTTCACACACACAACCATGTTTTGAAATGATTTGATTGCCTTCTAAATATGTTTTAAATTAGTAGGCTGTACACTTTAAACATTATTCCTACTTACACTGTCACTTCCAACTTCATTTCCCTTTTTCCCCCCTCAGTTTTCAATTTTTCGGATTATTCGTTTACGTCTAGTGAGCGGCTAGTAGCTCATCAATTAAAAGTTGTGATGTGAAAGCACAAAAGTTGAAAAGCGTTCGCCTCCAGCCCCTGTGAGAGCTTCAGACGGTAATTGGAATGTGGGCGCTTGGCTGGACTCAAAATCATCACTCACTCTCTACTGTTCATTTTACTCCCTTCATCATCTCTCTCTTCATACAGAAACCCTTCAGAGTGGGAAATTAGATGAGAACAGCTGTTAATAAGGGAAAATGCTGTGCAACATCTTGGTATACAGTCATAAGACCAGTCTCTGTCATTGATCCCACCCATTAATTCGCATTCCACAGAGACAGAGAAAAGAGAGGACCATCCTCCCTCATCCCGAGCTAAAAAAAGATGGATCAAGTATCCTCTTATCTCTCTCCCTCTCTCTCTCAGTACCATTCTTCATTCCCTCGTTTCTCCCAGGAGAGTATTACCTCTCCTTAATTTCACGCTGTAAGGGGATTGTGCAGGAATTACACCCAGACACCCATTCAATTTCCCATTACGTATCACTTCCCCCATTATGAGGGGGCGGAGTCTTATCCAGTTATCCCATTTAGTCTTTTCACATGTTCCACATCACCAGCAGACAGTCACAGATACCATACTGACTTTTTTATTATTTTTATTGTAGATTTCTTTGTGTGTGTGTATAGATGAATTTTGAAATGGATAGATTAATGGGTTCAAAAATGGGGTTGTTTTAATTTAAAATATATTTTTTTTAATGACATTAAAAATTAAACACAAATTAAACACATTTTGTTATCTAAACATAAGCAATAAAAACAAACTAACTTGCAAAATATCTAAAACTTTGCCTGCCCTGAAATGCGAAAATTAATAAATAAAATGCTGCCTTGATCTCTCATGCTTACTACTTACTGTAAGGCTACATTTATTTGATCAAAAATACAGTTAAAACATTAATATTGTGAAATATTGTTAGTTCAAAAGAACTGTTTTCTGTTTTTATATATTTTAAAAATGTATGTATTCCTGTGATGGCAAAGCTGAATTTTCAGCATGATCCTTCAGAAATCATTCTAATTCTCTAGAATGGTTCTTTGATGAATAGAAGTTCAAAAGAACAGTATTTTCAATCTAAATCTTTTGCAACATAAATGCCTTTACTGTCACTTTTCATCAGTTTAATGCTGAGTAAGTACGTGTAGGAAGGAAGGAAGTTAATACTTGCTAAATAAAAATATTAATTTCTTTAAAAAAAAAAAACTTACTGACCCAATTTTATTTATATAGATAGTATAATCATATACCACTATTTAGAAAAAAATTAAGATTTTACTTGCATTTTAAATTTTTAATCCTTTTTTAAATTGTAAACAAAAGTGAATTCATCAGTATATAAGAGCCCTTTTTATCATGTGGTGTTGAGATGATGGCCGATGACCAAATAGTTTGAGGTAGAAATGTGGTTATCAGGATCTCTAGGGTGAAAAATGAGATTTCAGAGGCAAAGCCTCTGGAGGAAAAGTCTGAGGAGAGTTTACAGATATTACACCACTGACTTGGGTGACAAAGATCTCAGCACATCTGCTGAACAGCCTGAAGGGGTCCAGAGGTGAATGAAAGAATCAGGAGAGATAGTGTTATGAAGATGAAAAAGTGATAGCTGTAAGGAAAGAGAAAGGCGATGACGGATGAACTTTTACTTCAGGAATGTGTGCTGTATATTTTCATGCTTTTGAGAACGATGTGACCACACAGACACACTGTCATGAGAACATGTGGTCCACATAAAACACACTGGTCTGTGTGGAGGCTGTTTGCTCGGATGAAGTTGCTTTCTATCAGTCTTTGCAGTTAAAGTGGGAACATTAGACTTGGCTGAGTGTATTTATACACACACACACACACACACACACACACACACACACACACATATTGCTGCATGTCTCTCGCTTTCTCTCTCTGTCTGTTCAAGTGCTGTCATTGTCACTGCTTCACACAAGCACACACACATGTGAGGTAATATATGGAGGATGTAAAGTAAATTGGGGTCAGTTTTCTGTCTTTCATCTTGTGAAAAAAACGCTGCTGCTGAAGTGTTCTGGAATGCTTAGAATGTGACATCATTAGTCATCTTTGGTGAAGCTGTCAATCATAACACACCATCATATTTGTATTACTTTTATGGTCTTAGTAAACACTTCACAGTAAAGCATACAAATCATATTAATAGAAGTAACCAGTTTTGTAAATAATGGCATCAAGAACTTTTCCCATCTCGTTATTCCTGATAATGAGTACATAACAAAACTATAGAAAAAAATAATAATTAAAAAAAATGTAGTTTAAAATGTACTACCTTTCAAAAGTTTTTTTTTTTCTTTTTAAAATGTTAGAAATTCTTACTTTTATTTAGCAAGGATGTATTAAATTGATCAAAAGTGACAGTAAAGACATTTGTTACACAATATTTGAATTTCAAATAAATGTTTTTCTTTTGTTCATCAAAGAATCCTAAAAAATGTATCACAGTCATCACAAAAATATTAAGCACAACATCACATCTGTTTTCAACACTGATAATACTGAGTTTGAGCATGCTTGAGCGGCAAATCAGCATATTAAAATGATTTCTGAATGGGTCATGTGACACTGAAGACTGGAATAATGATGCTGAAAGCTGCTGTAATTACCCAGAATTACTCTCTCTAAACCTACTGATAAAATATGTACAATAACTTTGCCATTAAAAAGGAATAAATTGCATATTAAAATGTATTAAAATAGGAAACAGTTGTTTTAAATTGTAATAATAATTTAGAGTATTACTGTTTTACTGTACTTTTAATCAAATAAATCAAGATAATTATTGACCCCAAATTTTGAAAAGTATACATATAAATCGTACGACACTCTTTATTTTTTTATTTGTATTTATTTGATCATGTTACTTCTTAATAGAACTAGCCAAACTTGTGCATAAGCAAAAACATCCCTCTCCTTTTCACACACACAAAAAGTTAATGACCACAAATTCTGGTTCTGCTTTAGTAATTACAGTGCAGTTTGGATCTTGTTAGTTACAGAGCATACAGACACACAAACATATGTGGAACACTGTGTGAAGGCAGTGATTAATAGCTTTTACACACACACACACACACACACACACACAGAGCGAGAGAGAGGAATGTGGATCCCAGCATTCAGGTAAAGTATTCTGGTAGTTTAGTGAAGTTTAAGGGTGTGGTGTGCTTAGTTTAGATTTTGGAGTTTGAGGAGAAAGCCTTCTCTGTTTCTGAGAGACACACGCACACACACTCATGTTGGTTTTTATGGTTTATGAAGACTCTCCATAGGCGTAATGTTTTTTATACTGTACAAACTGTATTTTCTATTGCCCTACACCTACCCTACCCCTAAACCTACCCCTCACAGGAAACTTTGTGCATTTTTAGATTTTCAAAAAACTTAATTCTGAATGATTTATAAGCCTTTTAAATTACGGGGACACTCAAAATGTCCTCATAAATCACCTTCTCGTTGTAATACCTATGTCATACCCATGTCATTATACAAATAGGTGTCCTCATAAACCACATAAACATGCACACACACACACGTACGTACATACTTACTCACTCTTAACAGCTTCCCTCCTGGGAATCAGACACTTCAGACTAGTCACACCTCACTGAAGGCTTCATAGACCCTGCTATTAACATCCGTTTCTAGTGGTCTGAATTAGACTGCACTAAATGCAAGTGTATACAGAGTCAGAACACATTAGAACAACACTTGTAACCACGTTATTTATTTTAATTAAAAAGTCCAAAGTTGATCAAAATGCAATTATATACCATCCAGGTATAAACTGCAATTTCTGAGTAAGTGTATGAGAGAGAGACATAAAAACACTTCTCCAGACAGAGAATGAATGAATGAATGAATGAACGAGGCATTTATATAGTGCTTTCATCGTGTATTGCTGTACACCCAAAGCGCTTTACAATCATATGAGGGGATCTCTTGAGATGTTCTTTCTATCTTTCTTCCTTCCTTCATTCCTATAATTGCAATTTGCCTGTTCAAACTAAACTGTAACATACTCACAGGTAAGTGTGTGTGCCTCATATTTTATTAAAATTGTCAGTCAGAGTAGAGGGAGGCAAACAGAGAGACATGCTTCAGAAACTGTGTGAGCCGAAATCTTAGTAGTGTTGGGCTGTCACATGGTCAGGACAGAATAAATGTTAGGGAACAGAGGGTGGAAAAAGAGAAAAGCAACATCAACACACGGTTGTTAGAGTGTAAATGTAAGAAAGTTAAAAATAAAGTGATGCACAAGCCAGGAACATCAAAGAATGCAGAGGTCAAGTTTAGGGATTTGTGTTTTGACCTCATAGCTAAGGTTAGGTCAGGAAAGGTTAGATCAGGCACAGCAGAGGGTAAATGTCAACCCTAGATTCGTTTTCAGATTAGATATTCATGATTGGTTGTTGAGTTTAAACAGCAGCCAGTTTTACACTACTGAAAAGTAAGTTCTTTGGCATTTAGTATTTATTTTTATTTATTTTTTCCCATCAGGTGCTGGAAATCCTGGTGCGTTCAGTAGTGGACAATCTGACAGATCACCGTGGCGAACAGGCCTCCAATCTTAAAGCCAAATTGCAGGAACTCTTTGGTCGAGTCTCTGCCCGCTGCAGCACAGATGCCCAAATATGGAAGCAGTACGCTCGTCTCTATGGCGATGGCAATAGCAACAATGTAGAAGACAATGAAAAGGTGAATTTTAATTTTATTATTTTTTTTAAGATATATTTTGGGCATTTTTTTACTTTATTAGTATAGAAGTGACAGGAAGCAAAGTGGGAAAGAGAGAGGGGGGTGGGATCGGGAAAGGTCCTCGAGCTAGGATTCGAAATCTGGACGCCCGTAGCGCAATGGCGCTATATGTCAGCGTGCTGCCCACAAGGCTATCAATGCCAACTTTATTCATTTTTACAAGAATTGCCTTGAACTGTTATTTCTACATTCAGTGACTTAACCCAAACAAAAAAGCGTCTACAGTACACCAAGGTTTTCAAGCAAATTCCCTAATCTATTTTGTCATTAATATATTTGATTTTAACAGTTATTGTAGTTTTTTTTTTTTTTTTTTTTTGCAAATAAAATAAAGATTAATAGAGTAAGTTTTTCAATCCCCAGGGAACATGCATCTGGTAAAATGTAAATCTTGAATGCTCTGTAAGTCTTTTTGGATAAAACGCATGAATGTCAATTTAGCTTGAGGAGTACAAACTTTCACAGTGGACTTCCTAGCATGGTGCTGCACCTATAGAAAATATATCGATTTACAAACTCAAAACAACCTTGACTCAATTTTACATGGAAGACACACAGTAGCTTTTATTGGTTGTCGTTTTATTACCTTACATCTGGTTTGGTCTTGTAGTCTAACTGCGTTTTGATGTGTGTGTGTTTGTAGGCACTGCAGTTTCTGAGTAAAGCGCATTGGTGTGAGACGCAGGCAGCTGGCTGGGAGAAAGACATGGGCAACTTCAGATCTGTGGTGAAAGGTGCCAGAGATATGGCTAATGGTGAGACTTTATA